AGAAGATGACGTGATACTAGGTCACGTGACCTCCGCTGTCGTAACAATACTCTATCTGTTATGTTCGATGTTTATAGAAATTGTTAGTTTTGTCATATCCCAATTAACCATGATTTTATACATAATTAAAAAGACAATTTTTAAAGAGCTATATCAACATTTATGTAAACTTCTACCAGAAGAGATGCTAAAATTGTACACCAATAATTAGAATTAATAATAAATTGTCTTAATTATGAATAACATGCAAACTACAAAAAGATTTTTTGACCACTTGCACTGGGTCATCAGTTGGATACGTTCACTCCAAAAATCAAACTTGAAGAGGAACAAGCGAAAAATTTGAGAAAAGTCAAAGATAAAAATAATGTTTTAATTTGTATGGTGCGATAAATGTTTGGACTTGCGTTAGGTCCGACAGGGGTCGGCAACCCTTGATTCATTATGAATTTCGCGCAAAGCAGCACGAGGGCTATCTATGCTGGCTGTCCTTAATTTAGTAGTGTAAGACTAGAGGGAAGGCAGCTAGTCATCACCACCCACCGCCAACTCTTTTTTACCAACGAATAGTGGGATTGACCGTAACATTATAACGCCCCCAGGCTGAAAGGGCGAGCATATTTGGCGTGACGGGGATTGTGAGTCTAGCACCCTACCCACCTGCTCATGCCGGGCCTCGACAATCTTGGAAAGAAGAAGAGCCTTTTTTTGTGATTTTGACTAAGACCAAAACATTTCGAGAGTCACAATATGCCCTAATGGTCTAATCTAACCCCTCCCCACCTCCGGTGGGACAGTGGTATGTCTTGGGATTTACAATGATAAAATCAAGGGTTCGCCTTCTAGGGAATTTTAGGAGTTAACTGGAATTTATTCTAAACTAAAAAATGCAAATGTTGAGATTAAGTTTTTGACACCCATTATGCCTGACAGATTCTCAATTTTTCTTCACAATAGGAGTAAAGACGAGAGTCGCACAAATTTATTTAAAGAGCCGTAGTTTACCGACAGTTAGGGTGTGTTAGGCCAGAATAACGAAAGTTATTCATATGGTTATGGGCTGTATTTTTATTATATTTATGTTTTGTTCACTAGAGGGAATTTTTACATAATATAATGATTGTGTGAAGTCTAGAAATTTTATGAAATCTCGAAGTTTCCTGTAGTGCGTAGAAAACTAGTACAATATGAAAACACCAGACTGAGTGAATTAAATAGTTAATCTCAGTTAAATAATTTTATTGAGTTAGACAATGAGAGTTAGTCAGCATGTTTGTTATTGATGGAGTACTGAGGATATTTTTGCAAGTACGTTAGGGTTAGGCGTACAATTATTTTTGGACTTTCTATTAAAACGTTTGTCAAGTTAGACTTACTTAGTGTTTAGTACAGACTTTGTTGTAAAGTGTTTAGGGTAAGCTTTATTGTATAGTGTTTAGTACAGACTTTGTTGTAAAGTGTTTAGTGTAGGCTTTATTGTATAGTGTTTAGTACAAGCCCATTTTGAGATATTTTTCAGAGGACCCATTTTTGATAAGGTGTTTCAATAAAATGGAACCATTAAATTTTTAACTTGGATTCTGACGAGACATTTCTTTTTTGATTTTATTCAAGTTTAGGATAATACTACATAAATATACACACTAAAGATATTATGACAAAAAACATTTTTTTAGAAATAATGGTTCTAATATTTATTTAAAGTTGGTAAACACATTAACATACAGCATGAGGTGTTATAAATCATATCGAAAATATTACGTACTAACGCACAGTATTGATTACTGTATATAATCTAATTAAAAAAAAAGTTGTCACTTAAATTCTTGAGAAAACTTTCTAAATTAATTATACTAAAATATGTATAGTACAAGAACGCACCATTAAATATAAAACTGTTAAACGGTTATTTTACAGAAGAATAAATTTGAAATATTTGTATAGAAGTAATTATTTTTACTTTAGATAATCATTTCAATAAACTTTGCTAAGATTTAATGTTAGAATTATCTTTACAAGTGAAAATAAATGGTTTTTTGGTAGGATTCAACAGCTTCAGTGAAATTGCATATTTTAATTAATACCACTCCATATTATGTGAAATGAACCACGATCCAACAATTTTAATCACATCCTCCTTTACTAGGTGAGAAGAGATTTACATTACTGTTAGTCTAGATGTGATGTATACTCTTACACCTGCTGCCATCTAGCATCAGTTTCTTATGACTTAATGTCACATTCACAATAATTTTGTTTTAATAATTATAACATTTATTGGTTTCATCTTTGTTTGATTTTGTACGTATAGAAATCGTTTTGTGTTAACTGTTTTGCTTTGACGTATAACATTATATTTTAGTAATGCCTCATTGTTTTCATTACAATTTTACTAATATGTTTCTTCACATTGATCATTCTGTTTAATAATTTGTAAAAAGATCTTTTGTTTCTTACCACAATGTTTGTAGTGAACCAGAAACTTCCTTTCAAATAAATTTCAGTCACAATGCATTACAGTGGTGTAATACATCTTTTTAAAAAAAGACACAGTTTTTCACTGGTCAAAAACGACAGATAGTTTAGCTATATAATTTGTTTAATATGTAAAATATTATTATTGTTATTTACATTGAATTTCTTTTAGACTAATCATTTAATAATAGTTTATCGAAAGACGGGAAACTTTCCTTGCAAAATTTAAACAATACGACATTGGTGAGATAGTCAAGAAAATTCCTGTACAGAAAATGGCAAATGTAAAGAAACAAAAATAACATTTTTGAGAATACATCCATTTTTATTTACAGGAAATTACAAAAGACTCAGACACTGAACTGATTAATTCGTACTTCTTCTTTTAAAAAAAAAATAATCAGAAATACAGCATACTAGGTCATAGGGACCACAAACAACAATGAACACTTACTAAAACCAAATAAGAGAAACAAAAATCATTATGGACATTTTCGTTCCACTTGAGATTTTCCTCCCTCGTCATATTCTTGTTTAGAGATCCACATTTGTTGAAAAGTACCCTAAAAACAACATAACATTTGTTGAAAGTACCCTAATAACAATGTCACATTTGTTGAAAAGTACCCTAATAACAACATAACATTTGTTGAAAAGTACCCTAAAAACAATGTCACATTCATTAAAAGTACTCTAAAAACAACATCACATTTGTTGAAAAGTACCCTAATAAAAACATCACATTTGTTGAAAAGTACCCTAATAAAAACATCACATTTGTTGAAAAGTACCCTAAAAACAATGTCACATTCATTAAAAGTACCCTAAAAACAGTCACATTCATTAAAAGTACCCTGAAAACAACATAACATTCATTAAAAGTACCCTAAAAACAACATAACATTTGTTGAAAAGTACCCTAAAAACAACATAACATTTGTTGAAAAGTACCCTAAAAACAATGTCACATTTGTTGAAAAGTACTCTAAAAACAACATAACATTTGTTGAAAAGTACCCTAAAAACAACATAACATTTGTTGAAAAGTACCCTAAAAACATCACATTCATTAAAAGTACCCTAAAAACAGTGTCACATTTGTTGAAAAGTACCCTAAAAACATCACATTTGTTGAAAAGCACCCTAAAAACAATGTCACATTCATTAAAAGTACCCTAAAAACAACATAACATTTGTTGAAAAGTACCTTAAAATGACATAACATTTGTTGAAAAGTACCTTAAAATGACATAACATTTGTTGAAAAGTACTTTAAAACAACATAACATTTGTTGAAAAATACCTTAAAACGACATAACATTTGTTGAAAAGTACTTTAAAACAACATAACATTTGTTGAAAAGTACTGTAAAACAACATAACATTTGTTGAAAAGTACCTTAAAACAACATAACATTTGTTGAAAAGTACCTTAAAACAATATAACATTTGTTGAAAAGTACCTTAAAACAACACAACATTTGTTGAAAAGTACCATAAAAACAACATTAAAATAGAGTGAACCTACATTACTTTGAAACAAAAGAAAACTTCAAACTAAGTACTTCTCAATAACCAGTTATCATTAAAAATACTAAAACATGACATACAATAAGACGGACTAACTCAGCTACAAATACATGTACAGAAATGAATTGGAATGTAATGTCATACGCAAGTTTGGGATAAGAAAATTAAAGACATATAAACTCCCATCACGTGTATCTTTCTGAGCATCATAATTGCAATATGTTAAACTAGATGTCATATAAAATATTATTTTTACACTTACTAGAGAAGCAAGAATCCCAGTCATCATATTGCTAATATACTAAAATGTTTTTAACGTTCATATAGTTTCACCTAGTTTTAAACCTTCATTAACACTTCCACGTTTGTTAAATAGAGTATGAGGTTGAAAGTTATCAGTGCCAATGGAACAGCGGAACGGAGATTTGGTGCCTGGATAGGTGGATCTATAAAAAAATGAATTTTGTGATTTCTCTACAAACAGAAACGAATCAAGTTAACATGATCATGAAACACAAGTTCACTGATAAACTTACAGTTTTATCTTATACTTACAGGTGGTGTTTTGGCAGACAAGTCTCGATTGAGTCGATCAGTAAAGCCAGTAAGAAGTGAGTTACCTCCTGTAACAATAACACTTCCATACAAGCTCTATATAAAAAAAAAGAAGATACATTTCAGTATTGACTAGTGTACAACACAAACATAAATTAAAAAAGCTTTATTACAAGACGACTTACTCTGTTTTACAACAAATCAGAGATATGTTAAATCACCAACGTTTCTTGTTTTACAATTTTTACAACATATTACAGATGTTATATTTCTTTCTTTGTTACCATGTTGTGACTGATGTATGTTACATTACTTCTAGCTAGTTTACTGATACTTATAGGTCTGACATCAACATCACCACACTACTGATACTTACAGGTCTGACATCAATATCACACATTCCTACGCTAGTTGTGACAACTTGAGCTGCACCCATCATTGTAGTTCCTGGAACACCCTTAAAATATAGAATCAAATGTTAACAACAGGGTGGATAACACTTCACATTATAACACTTGGATTAACTCACCCACTTCAGTCATGATTTTTTCTAAATTCAACAAAGACAGAATCAATATTTAAACATTAGTTTTTCTGAAATACGTATTACATTAACCATGTCACTAAAACAGTCCACTTTTCTGCTACCATCATCAATGCAATAAAACTCAGAAGTTTACATACTTCTTGTTAACCCTTCTGAAAATGATAAGAGGCTTCAAACTTTTAGAAACATATCTTTATAACAAAGGGGTGAAAATAATGAAATGTGTAGTCAAAGTCAACAAAAGTATTATTTAAAAGTTGATAACCTGTTCTCAGTATAGACTCCTATATTTACTTTTAATGGCCTGAAACATGAAAACTGAGATGGTGTGTACCTGAAATTCATTCCGTATTAACACCAACATGAATGTAAGAGCTACAGTAATTTGTTCAAAACTAAAGTCAATATAAGACATGGTTTACAGCTTTATTTTGTGTTATATCTAGTTTAATACCTTGAGTTTAATGTGTCAACTCTGTTTATTGGTCAGTACCCAGTTTAACACAGTACCTTGAGTTTAATGTGTCAACTCTGTTTATTGGTCAGTGCCCAGCTTAACACAGTACAAACTAACTTATTCCTCATCAATTCACACTGGCTCATATTGCCTTTAGGCTTTTACAGTCATGATATAAAGTACACTTTCCTGAAAATGCTGTATTTAAAGATTGACAAGAAACAAGTCCCATCTTCAATTATCAAACATGTCT